GGATATATTCCACAACTTCCACAAGAGTATCACTAGCACCGTTTCCTTCGTAACCTAGGGGAAAATATTGCACCTTCTTTAGGAGATCCATGGTTTAAAAATCAGGATGGGCTTATTACCTTATCTTTATCGTCGTTTGTAGCAATCAATGCCTTCAATACAGGAACATCAAAATTTACCCCGGTTGGCTTGGTTTTGCATTGCTTATTATCCCATAGTTAAGCAATTTCTTGTCATGCCGCTTATTTATCGAATCCCCGACCCTCCTTGACTTATGATTCGTCATACTCTTGTGTTTTAGAAAATCATCTGAGGTGAAAACTCTGCCTTATAATATCTATGACCTTAAGTAGCTTACGCCTTTCTGTCTCGTAGCTTTCTTCTAATTTCTGGATGGAGGCGTAATCAAGTATTTCGTTTACAATGTCCGAATGACATTTCCTCATTAGATTTCAGAAATGGGGAGCAGTACCATAATGTTTACAACAATTCACAGGGTCAAATTGCAGGATTGACTTATCATTGTCTTCCTTGTCCGACTGTAATTCGCGCATTGTCCGGCGATCTTACTTCCATAGTTTAATCAAAAGTATGAAGACCAATATGGTATGACCTTTGTATGGACGCAGACTCCTTTCGCTGTTTAAAAGTTATTTGACCTTTCCTTCGCAACTTGGTCATATTGGTAGGATTTCCTAGAGGAACGCACTTAGTCCGGAGTCCATAGTATTCACGATAATTTCCAGATTAGGATCGTTGGTGGTAAATAAAGAATTTAGACTAATTCGGCAAAAGTACAATTTAGCTTTTAATTCAATTATAATATTTGAACATTTGTAAAAATGTGTTTAATTTTCTTCGTTTTTTTATTGGCAAGTAGATTGAGCCTAAACTATGCCTATTTGAGCAGAACTTGAGAAGCTCATTTGATGATATTAGTCATTACATCTGTTAATGTTTTTAGTGTGCCTAAAACTTATCAATTCGTCATTTTAACTCTTGCCTAATTTAAATATATGATATATTTGAAATTTGTTTTTGGTACTTTTGTCGTTTTCGCCTCTCCTATACCCTTATTTTTCGTTCAGTTCTGTGAACCCTTATTTAATTATCCTATTATTTCCTCTTTTCCGAATTTATTTTCCTAAACACGTCTCTACCTATCTGCAGGGACTTTCTTTGTTCCACAATTTATCCTCACATATCCGCCAACTGCCAGCTCCGCTCTCTTCTCCTTTCTACTCTTGTATACCAGCTCAACCAACTTCCCATATTTGATCCAGACTCTAGCACTATAGGCACTGAGATGTGTCGAAATCTCCCTCCTGATTTAGCCATGGATATGATCTATTGGTGCATGTCACCGGAGACATTTCTTACTAATCTTGGAGAATTCGATCAGGCCGCTGCTATCGATTTTGCTAATTTGGGAAATATTTGTGAGGACGCCGATGGGACAGATAATCAATTCGTGAAAACGGTAGCGAAGGCAGGGGAGGACGATGATTATGATTACGATTCTTGTCAGGAAGATGAGGATGAGATATACAGTGAGGTGATGAGGAACGAAGAAAATGGAATCGATTTTCAGGTTGGCTACTCGGATGAAAAATATAGTGAAGAAGAGGACTATTTTGGCCATCCATCTAATAGTGCAAGTGAGTTGCTTTTATCTGGTATTAAGTTTGCGACAATCAAAATATGAGCTATTTAATTAAATATGCATGTTGTGATTACATTTTTCCTCTAAAAAATATAACTGCTTGCATAATTTACAGAAGGATCTGCCAGCGTGATATTAATGGAAGTTTGGTATAATGAAATCCTTAGTCCTATTTTCATACTTTATTTCCCAGGTTAAGCGCTAATAGATTTTCACTACACTCAGATAAATTTTAGAAGACTAATTATAATTTGCTGAGCCTTGTTTTGGAATGGCTTCTTATAACCTTCAATCCCACATAGAGAATTCGAGTCTGACGAGTGATTTTATTCCTCTTAAACTCCCTGACATGTATTTTATCGCCCAAATGATCTATGCTTTGCACTAGCATATTATATAATATGATGCACTTTTAAGTTCTATATACCTGTTAATTCCTTTTGCTTATTTCATATAGTAATATTTGGTGTAATAGGGCATGATGCTGCAAACTCCATATTTCATCACCTTATTACAGCGTTATCATTAAGGAAATCATTCTTGTTTATTTGCTCTCCAAATATAGTGAGTCAAGTCCCATACCTAATTTTTGCTGAGAAATGGGCTGCGATTTTCACCTGATGCTGGACCATCCGACTAATGAATATATTTAATAATTTTTCATGCGGCTTATGGCTCATCTTGGCTTATAGGGCGAGGGAATGGACTATGCTTATTCCTCAGATCCTATATCTCAGACCTGAATATTTATCTGATTCACCAGATAAGCAAAACCGAGGATAGATTAAATGTGGGTGGGATAATCCACTTAAACGAGTTTTCGGTTTGCTATTCATAAAGCAACCTTGACGAGGCAATGGTAAGTCCATGCAAGTCTAATTTCAGAAAGAAATTGTGGAATTTTGGGGGTTTAGAGTAAACTGGCCCCCTGTATGCCTAATTATTAAACTATTTTTTATCACACAGATCGCGACACTAAAAATAGGAATCGAAACTTATTTTCTCGCACCAAGTATCCGCATTTTACACCTCATTCTCAGCTCAGAATCAACGAGCCAATAGGAGCGTAATGTGTAACATAAAATACGTGCACCAATCGGCAGAGACAGCTTGCATAAAACTACACAGCTTAGGAGACGACTTTGACTGCGATGCTGCCAAATTTTGCCGGATTAGAGATTAGAGCATAATTAGTTTCTTCTATATTGAGATTTTCGCCTTCCGGGGACCTACAAGCAAAGACCGATTGAGCAAGCTTCATAAGATAGCTTATATTCGACTAACCTAGGTAAACTTGGCCGCAGGGATAACAACTCAGAGACCTTTTATCAACTGACTTTGCCTTTCTGTGTTCTGTCTAGAAAGTTAGGTGAACTAGTGAGGAAATGGGGAATAAAATCGGTTCTCAATGAAATTATGACGCCCTTCATTATGTCCATTTTTAGAGAAAAAATTAACTCATTATCCAGATCAGGTTGCTATAAAATAGTATGTTAACCTTATCGGTTTATGTTTTTAAGAGACCTGTCGTCCGATTCTACAAAGGGTGGTTGAACGTTAAAGTGCCTGTCGAGAATGTTGGGTTAAAAAAATCAAGGGTAGCTGAATACATGGCAAAAACTGGACATCAGATTGAATGGCCTAAAAATTATTGTTTTACTCATTATGCTATGTCTACAGCTAAGCCCAAAATAATATACCATTGAAATCAGGCAATAGATTAAATATGTAGAAAAACTGGTTTTCGAATGATCCCTTGATAAGGACACCAGGCTTAACGATACTTCCTTTTGTTTAGGTTTTAGAGATCATCAGTAAATCAGATCTATGAATTATGTTCACCCCATATCTTTTAAGGTGTTGAAAGACTGGTAGTTGAAATTTTCACACAATGATGTGAGTAGAGCTTACGTTTCCATTTAATTTCGCATAGCCTTGCTTTGCCGAAAGGTGTTCTCATTCAGGGTGGACTGCAATTTCGACCTCGCCTAAGACTTATCAATACCCCCAGCGGAAGTCGAACCATGACAGTGCAGCGCACGATACATAACTTATAGATTTGATTTACTTGAAGTCTCGAAAACCTACTCAAAACGAAATATATGGAATTCCAACAATTGCTATAGCAAATTAATTTTGCTTCATCGACAATTCAACCACAGAATGGGATATGGGAAAATGCCTGGCCCTCCTTGAAATTCACATCATCCCTGTGGCCCAAGAGCGTTCGTGAAAATGTGGCGTGGTAGTTAATGTGTCGAGATTAAACGCTGCACTGTCAGGATTCGACTCCCGCCTGGGGTGTTAATAAGACCTAGGCGAGGTCGAAACTGGTTTCCATTCTGGATGAGAACACCTTTTGAGACTTTGTGAAATTCAAACGAATTGTCAGTTCTACTCATATGATTATGAGAAAATTCCTATTACCAGTCCTTCATCATCTTAAACGAAAGACATGAAAGGTGGCTGTCATGTCCATTTATGTTTAACTTCGTCCACTTAATGATAAAGTTCATTATTTGGTTAGATATCGTATGCTTTTCCTACATACTTGGGGAAAAGTGAAGTGGGTGAGGATGAAATGTGTAACATATTCAAATGTGACAAAACAGTGCTAGAATCCACTTCTTATCGTAGGGATTTAACTGTGCTTTATACTACAGAAGAATGTCATCTTTAAGGTAACATTTTTTATGGTTCATAAAACGTTATTCTTTACTAATCGGTCTGTCGAAACTATCAATGATTCTTTATAAAAGATTGGAGGCCTATCATTTACTTTTTTCTTTTATGTTATGGTACGCCAAGAATTAACTTTTTTGCCTTTGCCACTGAATTTACTTGTTCTATTCTGCCAATATTGTGCTACCATCCGCAATTTATATTTAACTTTGATATTCTTATATTTATTAATATAATTCTAAACTAAGCTTGTAGATCTAGAGCTAAGCATCTTACCCTCAAACGTTCCAAAAACGGGATAATCTACGCTAAATTTAGTTATTACTATTAAGTTATTAAAATTTATTACTGTGTCTATGCAAGAATATGATGTGGTTTGGTAACCATAATACTTGATTTTGATTCACTTCTGCCTTACTGATTTGATTCAGTCTAGGACTTAATGACAGGAGTTTTTCATGCTAAGGCATCTTCTCCCTAGGCTTCAGAGCCATGACCCAATTATCTTCTTTATCATCCCAATCCTATTCTCTCTCATTCTCTCGGACTCTCTTTCTGGCTTGATTCTTAACCACTGGTGTGAAGATGGACCGTATTTTTTCTCCATTCCTACATAGCGTAAAGCTCGCTCCTCTTGTTTCTTAAGCTGACAATCCCACTTAATCCTAAAATTCTAGTGAGTTCTACATTTGTATGTTAATTGGTAACTTTCCTATTTAAGCATGTCACCCGTCTCCTCCCATTAGAGGCGCACACACGAAAAATGCACCAGCGTCTACTCGAGACGAACTTATATTGTGCACCCAATTCAGTTAACACATCTAAATGAATTTGAAATTGATACAAACTTTTAGTCTAGCACACCTAATGTTGTACAATTCAGATGTTCATGGCTTTTTATTTTATATTATTAAGGTGGACCCATATCAGTAACTTTCTAGGCCGATGCTAGGTTTGACTCCTATAACTGTAATTACCTTCTGACATTCTTTGTCCCGCATGCTCATCTTCCTGGCAATGTCTTTTCCTGTTAATGAATAGA